TGCTGAACCTAATTGTAACATTTACACCAGGCTCTGAGTTCCACTTGGAACTCGGGTGTCACATATGAGGCTCTTTCAAGGGCCTAATGCAGATGTTCAAGACTACAGTGGATATGGCACTGCTTGGGATTCTAGGAGAGGCTAAAGAGTAGGCAGTACAGATCCAAAAAAAGGGTTTGAGGAAAGGGTTAAGATTTAAAGTACCACTTATATTTTGGAACTGTTTTGGGCATTTGACGATCACCTACACATTTGGTGATTTGCTAGAAAGACTCATGGGATTTAGAGACATTTGTAGTCACCACTATGGTTTGTTACAGCGAAAGGATACACAGCAGGATCAGCAAGGGAAAAATACATAATGGGTGGAGTCTGGAAGAGTCTAGATGTGGGCTTCCAAAGGGGTGGGGTTTCACAGAACAAGCTGCTTCCTCCAGCAATTAAATACAGCAGTGCCTGCACAGTGTTTCTGCCTAGGGAAGCTTGCTCAAGACTCGGAGATTTTTTTTTAATTGGGGACTGATTAGGTACTGTTACTGAAATTTCTGATTCCCAGAAGAAAGCAGGTGTTCTCTATGAATTACATTTGCAGAAACTATCTAGCAAGGCTGGTATGGCCATATTCAGCATTCCAGGCACATAAAACAACCTTATCAATTAGTAGCATAGGGGATATTTTACAGGCCAAGTTCCCAGGAGCTATTGCACGGATCAGTCATACAAGCAGGGCCTCCTAGAAATAGCAACATCAGGCCTATTATGTTAACTTTTTCCTGTGTTATCAGTTGACTGTTAGCTTTTTGTGTTCCTGGGGGTTCTTTGGTTTCAAGACACTTATTTTTTTTGGCTGCGCCTCACAGCATGTAGGATCTTAGTTTCCTGACCAGGAATCAAACCCGTGCCCCCTGCACTGGAAGCGCGGAGCCTTAATCACTGGACCACCAGGGAAGTCCCACTTTTATTTTAAAAATCATTACTTTTTTAGATTTATTAATTTTATTTTAAAAATTATCATAAGCAATATTGACTTTTGACATACAGTTTTATGAATTTTACAATATATAGAGAGATGTATAACCATCACCACAATTGAGGTGAATATTAGTTCCTTCACCCTAAAACACCCATGTTACCACCCTACTCTGACAACCACTGATCTGTTCTCCATCACTCTTGTTTTGTCTTTTCAAATGTCAACATAAGTGGAATCTTTCAGTATGTAACCTTCTGGGATTAGCTTTTTTACTCAGCATAAGGCCTTTGAGATTTATCCATATTGTTGCATGTGTCTATAATTAGTTTATTTTTATTGCTTCCATTTTATGGATATACCATAGTTTATTTGTTTGCAAGTTGAGGGACATTTAGGTTGTTTCCAGTTTTTTTGTGATTATGAATAGAGCTACTATAAATATTAGCATACAGGTTTTTGTGTGAATATAAGTTTCCATTTTTCTATGGTAAATACCCAGGAGTGGGATTGATGGGTCATAGGGTAAGCATATGTTTAACTTTATAAGGAAACTGCCAAACTGTTTTCTGGAGTAGCTGTACATTCCAACTAGCAATGTGTAAGCGTTCCAGTTGCTCCACATTCTCTTCAGCACTTAGTATTGTTAGTATTTTAAATTTTAGCCATTCTAATAAATGTGTAGTGGTATCTCATCGTGGTTTTGATTTGCATTTCCCTGATGCTGAACATCTTTTCATCTACTTATTTGCCATTCACATATCCTTTTTGGTGAAGTGACTGTTCAAGTCTTTTGCCCATTTTCTAATTGTATTGTTTTCTTTGAATTTTGAGAGTTTTTTATATATTCTGGAATCAAGTTTTTTGTTGGATATGTAATATGAAATACATGTATATATATATTTTTTTTGGGGGGTGGGGGCCATGCCACGCAGCTTGAGGGATCTTAGTTCCCCGACCAGGGATTGAACCCAGGCCCTTGGTAGTGAAAGTGCAGAGTTCTAACCACTGGACTGCCAGGGAATTCCCTCAGTTGCCCATATCTGTATGGATGTTTTTCTGGACTTTCTCCTGTGTTCCACTGATACCTGTGTCTAGCTTTGTGCCAGTTCTGTACTGTCTTGCTTGCTGCAGCTTTGTAGTACATCTTAAAATTGGGTAGTGTGAGTCCTCCAATTTTATTCTTTTACAAAATTGTTTTAGCTCTATATTCTTAATGATTTCCTATGTAGATCTATCAATTATTCACCACAATTTTAGGGCATTTTTATCACTCCCCCCCCAAAGAAACCCTGTATCCATAATCCTTTCAGGTTATTCTTTCCCCTCATATGCATATGTTGATCTCTTCTGAATACCTGAGGTAAAGACCCCCTGTGGATCTCCAGGATTCTTTCTCTGTTTAGGTTTCCTTTCTGGTGCTCAGTCCTGGGAACTTTAGCTGCTTTTGTATCCAGAATCCCAGCTTTGTCAGTTTCAGGAGTTGGCTAGACTTTGTCTCTGTTTCCCCTCCCTGTTTTGTGGCTTGGAAACGCTCTTAAGGCAGTAGCTGGAGCAGTCAAGGGCTTACCTCATTTCCCCGCATCTCTCAGGGATCACTTTTCTTCATTGCCTGATGTCCAGTGTCTTGAAAACCATTATTTCATGTATTTATGTTTGTTTTTGTTTCAGGCATGAAGATAATTCCAGTCCCTCTTTCTCTTTCTTGTCTGGAAGTGGAAGCCTTAATTCCATGAAGGAGTTTTGGTCTTTCTTTTTTGTCATGGTAACCCCCATACAGACCCTTTTTGTTTTATTTTTCTTGAACTGTGGACTTCATGTGTGTGTCTGTGTTTTTATGCAGTTATGCATTTTTATGTACACATAGACACACATTTAAAACAAGCCTACCGTGGATGATCTTATTCTGGTCTAGGAATCTGTTGGCTACTGTACATTTTTGCTGTTGAGAGAACTGGGGAAGGAAACAATTGCATTCATTAACAGAGTAGGCTGTGAATGGGCCAGAGTGATTCTCTTCAGTGACGTGAATGAGATAATTGTCTCTTTTCAATGGCGGTGTTGTGCAGAGTGTTTATGATGGCACTGGAGAGAGACACAGACAAGATGGTAATACTGTAGTGTTGCCTGAAAGAAAAATGCACGACGTGAAAGTTGGGAGTTAAGTTTTATTCGGACACTTTAGCCTGAGAGACAGCCTCTCAGATAGCTCTGAGGAACTGCTCCTAAGAGGTAATGGAGGAGCTAGAATATGTATGAACTGGTGGGTGACAGCAGTGGCTAATGGCTTGATCCTTGCAGAATTGGAATGGCAGGCAACATTTTTTTTTTCTTTGCAGTAGTGATTTTTATTCATTGTGGGGAAATCTGGTAAAGAGTGAAGCTCTGATGTGGCAGGTCAAGTCCCAGTCCCAGTCCACTCAGGAAAAAAGAGGCAAGTAGTACAGTAGGAGACAACTGTGAACCAAGGCATTGGAAGAGCTGAGAAGCCAACCAGCCTGCATTGAAGCGACCTAGAGATAAGGAACAGCAGGAAGCCACTGTCACCCCAGGGGCGGACATAGGGAGAAGGTGGTGTTACCAGAGCCCGGGAGTGAGGTCGCCTGAGATACCCTGACTTCATTCCTCTCACCCTCTAGTCTCTTATCAGTGCCACCCATTGGATTAATTTAACTGGAAGCCACTTGCAAGGGGGCCTGGAAAAGTAGTTTACAGGAGTCCCCCCTCTTTTCCCATCCCCTGCAACACATAGCAGAGCAGCAAAGGGCAGAAAGTGGATCTGAGGGCACATCAGCCCAGGACTGGTGTGAAGGTCCTTCCTCAAATCGAATGCCCATTCTGATATGCAGTATGTCCAGCACCTAGATATGGTCCAGAAGGGAGGAGGAAAGCTGCATGGTCAGGATCAAAAGAGCCAGTATTTCTGTCAGCAGTCTGGGGGAAAGGAAGCTAGGTGTTGAGGCACAACACCTTTTAAAGCCATTTAATATCTGCTTAAAAGCCGTTTAATATATGCTCAAAGCCATTTAATATCTGCTTAAAGGATGAGATGAGGTAATTATGATAAACAGTTGTTCACATTTGAAATGTTAAGTTTATGCATTAACAAACCCCACATCAGCTATTTTTTAAGCTTATCTACTGATGCTTTTTGATTGAGTTATTATATATTATTTAGGGAGAGGAAGTGGTGGTAGATATGAGGAGAGACGGGAGGACCCTTTTTATTTTATTTTTTATTTTTATTTGGCCGTGCCACATGGCTTGCAGGATCTTAGTTCCCTGACCAGGGACTGAACCTGGGCCATGGCAGTGAAAGTGCCAAGTCCTAACCACTGAACTACCAGGGAATTCCCAATAAGTTCTTTTTTTTTTTTTTTGCGATACACGGGCCTCTCACTGTTGTGGCCTCTCCCGTTGCGGAGCACAGGCTCTGGACGCACAGGCTCAGCGGCCATGGCTCACGGGCCAAGCTGCTCTGCGGCATGTGGGATCTTCCCAGACCGGGGCGCGAACCCATGTCCCCTGCATCAGCAGGCGGACTCTCAACCACTGCACCACCAGGGAAGCCCAGTTCTTTTTTTAATTGAAATTATTGCAACCCAGGCAAGAATATTAGTTATTTCAAACTGATCAGAATCCTTGATTAGGTATTAACACTATAAGAATATCCAGTCTATTGGATTAACAAAATGTTCAGCGAATTGTTAGTACATTATACTTTGCTTGACGCAGTCTTCTAATATTTCAAATATCTAGACTTTGTGGGAAAAGGCTGCATATAAGATATAACTACACTTGAAAAACTAATCAACAGCCCTCTGGTTTCACCTCAGAGATGTGGAGTGTAGAGTTCCCATCCTTACAACAAGAAAAAAGCTGGACAAATTACAAATTAATGACTTTTCTTGAACCCAATGGAAAACTAAGGTTTCCGGGCTTACACCTAACCCCAAATCAGGAGAGATGCAGGTGCCCCTGTGGGGAGAAATAGCATGTGAGCATTTGCTTACCTGGGATAGACACTGCCAATGTCATATAAGCCAATAAGATTAAATTGTTAATGAATTACTAAAGGTTGGGGGCCATAGGTATAGAAGGTTCTGTCTTGCAGACTTTTCCTTCAGGATCCCCACCAGGTGCTCACAGGGAAGATCAGGGAGACTCCTGAGAAAGTGTCCCCCATGTGCTGGCTAGGATAGCAGAACAACAGCCACTGCCAAAATCTGCCTAGACGTGTCTCCTCATCTCCTAAAGGAACAAAAGTCTTAATCTGCAGGAAGAAGGGGAACAAAAACTGGTAGAAACCCACTGCAGCTGAGAAAGAACAGGAAAAACAAAGAAGCTCTACTCTTAGGGAAGGAAAGGAATACCATAATTCTGGGCACAGAATTTTGCTTGGAGGAGGATCACATGCTTATGGAGGCCACAACCCCAAGACCCGGGGCCACAGTACCTATCTAATATTGATGATTGACCGGAACAGAAGAGACTGCCCCCATCTCCCACCTCCCCACTACCAAGCTAACAAGCATTAAGTAAACATAGCAATAGAACTGATAAAATGGAATCATAAAAAATACTAAATAAGACCTAGAGAAAGAAGAAAGAGAGGAAAAAAAGAAATGAAGAACAAATGGAACAAATAAAAAACAGCTAACAAGATAAATTTTAACCCCACCATATCAGAAATCACTTTAAATGTGAAAATGTGAATGGTCTAAAAGAGATTGTCAGATTAAAAAAAAAGATATAACATGTATGCTGTTTACAAGAAACCCACTTTAACTAACTAACTAATTAATTAATTAATTATGGCTGCACAGGGTCTTAGTTGCGGCACTCAGGATCTTTGTTGTGGCATGTGGGATCTTTTTTTAGTTGCGGCATGTGGACTCCTTAGTTGCTGCATGCATGCAGGATCTAGTTCCCCGACTAGGGATCGAACCCAGGCTCCCCCTGCATTGGGAGCTTGGAGTTTTACCCACTGGACCACTAGGGAAGTCCTGAAACCTACTTTAAATATAAAGACATAGATTCAGAGTAAAAGGAAGGATAAAGATAAACCATGCAAATGCTAAACAAGAGAAAGCTGAAGTAGCTAGGTTAATCTCAAATAAAGTAGACTTCGTAACAAGGAAGATTAGTGACTTGAATTTTATCTGAAAAATCATTTCACCTTTTTCATGTAATGTAACGTAATTGCAGGAATGATATCCCATCACCTTTGCCATATTCTTTTGGTTAGAAGCAAGGTAGAAGTCCTACCCACCCAAAACATAGGTAGTCCTCACTTTGCATCAGTCTGATATGTATGAATTTCAGTTACCATGGTTTAGTTAAATAACATCAGTCCCTAAAAACACAGTTCAAATTTCTGGTACCATGGTATATTAACTGTGAGTAACTGCACAAAGTTCAGACTTTCCTGCTAGCTCTTTGTATTACATAAATAACAAATGGACATCAAGATGAGTGACCAGTCTTTCAAAGTCTGTCCATGTTCACTGCCCACCTGTTATTCAGTTCACACACAGACAGCAAAGCATGCAGTTGGGTTGCCTCCTTGTCTGCCAGTGATAAATCCATGTGACATTTTACAAAAATGGGTAGCTGAAAGAGGGAATTGGCCAAGAAAGATGAAAGTGCAGCAGAGAAATGAAAAGTAACAACACTGAAATTTGTATCAAATGTAAATGGAATAATAGAAGAAAGGGCTGATAGCAGAAATGTCAGCACTGCCACCATTCGAGAAACTCTAAATGTACAGCCAGATGAACTTAGTGAAGAACTTACTGATGTAAATGAGCAAAGTGGTTGTGATGAAAAGGATGACGATCCAGAGGAAGTGATGCCAGCAAAAAATCTTCATATTGAAGGAGCTGTTGGAGAGATTTCAGGACATGGAAAGTGCTAAGGCTATAATGTGAAAACTGATCCTAACCTAGAAAGGAGTGTGACAGTTCACCAAGGCATAGAGAAGACGCTTACTCTGTAACCCTCTGTGTTGTACAGTAAGTTATACAGTGAGAGAAAGCAAGCAAGCACTGTTCAAACTACTTTTGATAAGTTTTCTACAAAGAAATAACCCCTTTAAAAAAATTTATTTATTTTGGCTACACCAGGTCTTAGTTGCAGCATGCGGACCCTTAGTTGTGGCATGCAGACTCTTAGTTGTGGCATGCATGTGGGATCTAGTTTCCCAACCAGGGATCGAACCTGGGCCCCCTGCATTGGGAGCATGGAGTCTTACCCACTGGTCCACCAGGGAAGTCCCAAGAAAAAACCCTTTAATTCTTAATATTTTTGGTGTTTTAAATTACAGGGTACTAAATAAATATGTTTTACTATCTTTTCATTTCTCTTTACATTTATAGCCAAGAGTAAGAGTCCTTAATGTTTTGATGACAGTTTTTAAAGATCATTGAATGATTGTATTTTCCCCATTGATTATTAAGATTGCTTTTCTTGCTTTTAGCTTCCATAGTCATTTTTGCAGTTCCCACTACCATGCAGGACTGTTTATACTATTTAGAGATTAAAAAGAATGAAGTAGTGATTCATGCTAAAACATGAATGAACCTCAACATTATGCTAAATGGAAGAAGTCATGCACAAAGGTTGCCTACTGTGTGATTCCATTTACATGAAATGTTTAGAAAAGGCAAATGTATAGAAACAGAAAGTACTGGGTTGGCCAAAAAGTTCCTTCGGTTTTTAAGTAAAAATAAAAGACATTTTTCATTTTCACCAAGAACTTTATTGAACAATGTATTCACCATTTTGTTCCACTACCTTCTGCCGTTTTTCAGGCAACTTCATAATTCCATCTTCCCAAAACTTTTTATCTTTTTGAGCAAAGAACTGGTCCAGGTGCCTTTTACAGTCTTCCAGGGAATTGAAAATTTTCCCATTAAGAGAATTTTGTAAAGACTGAAATAAATGGAAATCTGAAGGTACAATGTCTGGTGAATACGGCAGATGAATCAGGATTTCCCAGCCAAGCTGTAACAGGTTTTGCCTGGTCATCAAAGAAACATGCAGCCTTGCGTTATCCTGATGGAAGATTATACATTTTCTTTTGACTAATTCCGGGTGCTTTTTGTCGAGTGCTGCTTTCAGTTGGTCTAAATGGGAGCAGTACTTGTAGAATTAATCATTTGGTTTTCCGGAAGGAACTTATAATAGAGAACTCCCTTCCAATCCCACCATATACACCTTACCTTCTTTGGATGAAGACTGGCGTTTGGTGTGGTTGATGGGTGGTTCATTTCACTTGCCCCATGATCTCTTCTGTTCCACATTATCATACAGTATCCACTTTTCATTGCCCATCACAATTTGTTTTAAAAATGGAATGTTTTTATTACGTTTCAGTAGAGAATCACATGGAAATGGAGCTACAATCAAAGAAAGTTTCAATATTTTACTGGAATTAAATTAGCATCACACTGAAGTGGATTGCGATCAAGATGTCTGTTGTAATCCCTGGAACACCCACTATGGAAATAAAAAATAATTCAAAAATATAGTAAAAAAAAGGAATTGAAATTCCACATACACACAAAATATATATATATATATATATATATATATATATAGAGAGAGAGAGAGAGAGAGAGAGACAGACAGACAGACAGACAGACAGACAGAGAAAGCATGTGCATGCACACAAGAAAGCAGTGAGAAAGTAAGAAAGAACCAAAATGGCATGAAACAGAAAATAAATAGCAAATGTGGCAGTCATAAATCCAGCCATTAAATGTGACAACTAAACACTGCAATCAAAAGGCAGACATTGTCACACTAGGGAAAAAAAACTGAGATTCAACTCTATGCTGTCTAAAAGACATACTTTAGATGAGGTTTATCAACCTTGTACCATTGAAATTTTGGACTGGATAATTCTTGGTTATGGGGGCTATCCTGTGCATTGTAGGATATTTAGTAGCATCCCTGGTCTTTATCCATTACATGTCAGTAGTAGCCATGCAGTTGTGATAAACATAAATTTCTCCAGCTATTGCCAGATGTCACTCGGGGGACAAAGTTGCTCCCTGCTGAGAACTACGCTTTAGATTCACACACACGCACATGCACACAGAGGTTGAAAGTAAAAGGATGGAAAAATACATTCTGGCTAACGCTAATCATAAAAGCAGTGGAGTAGCTATGTTATCAGACAAGATAGACTTTAAGATAAGAAATATTATTGTGGATAAAGAGGGATACTTCATAATGCCCTCAGGAAGATATAAAAATTATGAATGTGTACATACCTAAAATCAGCTCCAAAACACATGAAGCAAAAATTGACAGACTTGAAAACAGAGATGCAATTCAACAATAA